CACATGGACTAGTAGATAAAAGTGTTGGTTGACAGATTGAAAAAAATGACTTAACCTAAAGAGTTGTGAGTTTAATCCCTGGCCTCAGCTGACAGGACAAAAACTTGGTGAGTTATGAAAGTGAATAAACTAAAACCAAGATATCAAAAAGCATGGTACATGGAATTAGAACAATCTATCTCCATGGATTAAATAAAGGGTGAAATTTGAAATTTAAAAAATATTACCTGAAGAAAGCCAAGGTATACAACAGCTGAAATGTTGTGAATATGACAGTAAAGATGAGGACAACAGTCTGGAAAATGTAAATAGTTTAAATACTATCAAGCAAATACATTATTTAACAACATTCTGGCTTAACACTAGGTGAAGAAGTGAAAAATACAGATGAACTACTTATACACGTTATTTTGGCTCCATTTGTTCCAAATCTATGCAAGACCATTTACTTTAACCAACCAGTAGAAGTACAATACATGTGATACATTATCTATACACATCTTATATATTTAAAGCATGAGGACTGTTAGAAATTTAAATGTTTCTTATATTACATTGTTTGACAAATGTTTTAACAGCCTCACAAGTACTCACCACTATCCTCTAAAAGCCAGATCAGGCTGAAAATGGAGTACTGCCACCATATATAGGCAGGAACTGCTCAGTCTTCATTTCCCAGTCTCTACAGACTCCAAAAGCATCTACGTGGCTTTGTTGCGACCTACAACTCCTTTCCTCCGGACGAAACATTGCAAGCCTCTCCCTACTCTATTGTTATTTGCAATGAAAGTGTTCAGATGAATAACATTCCTTAGTTTCACCAGTTCTAACCTTCACAGTTAAGACCCACCATGTCACACACATGTCCATTGGTGGGATGTAAGTTCCACTTAAATAATTTCTTTCCAGGAATGGCTATTTTGTGGAACCAACTCCCAAGAAAATGCTTTCCCAATCACTATAATCATAACCTATTCAAGTCAACTGTTATCAAGTTAACTATTTTCCCCACATAGCGTCATAAACTGTGCCCTTACCTCTTATTCTGTAGCTCTCTATCTCGAGTGGCTCTTTGGCCTTATACATTATTGTAAAAAGTCACTTCAGGATGGGTGTTCAGAAAGTGGAATTGTTAATCCGAGTTCAAATTCCAGCCAAGTCTAATCTGGAATTTGAACTCAGATTAACAATTACACTTTCTTGCATCAATCGCCATTAAATTTTTCACCCATCCTGAAGTGACTTTTTACAATAATGTTCTCTCTGTATAAGGCCAAAGAAGTTAATTTTATCTTTCCCAACCACATGAGAACAAAGGAATTAACTTCTTTTTATCCTCCCCCCCCCCCACCAGCAGTGCTGGTGGATTAACCTGCAGGGTAGACTGAACAATTTACTTCTGGGTGACAGCCATCTAAGAATAAGACAATTCTGAATACCAAACTGTGGAGAAGACACCAGAAAACCACTCCCCTAACTTTTTCAAGACTACATAACAATTCACAGGTAATAATAATAATAAAGAAGCTGTGGAGAACATTGACTGCTTTCAACCTGAAATAACATAGGATTCAATAAAAAGAAAATATGCTTCATTAAAAATAAGCAATACTTAGACTTCATAGAAAATTATTACTTGATGCATGGGTTGGATAAGGGACGTGAAATTTATTGGTAATATGCTGTAAGCACTTGATTCTTATAGAACAAATCAGCTAAAGAATCAACCTGAACAGTTGTCCAGAATGAGAAGAATTTTGCAGTTTTCCAGAAGTCATACAAGATATGCAATGTGCATGCATTTTAGATTAAAAGAATTGCCGGAAAAATAGTTGGTCTCCATGTACAATGCACATAATCCAGGTGTTAAGTAATTCTGAACAATTGAAATGTTTGGATTTAGAGGAAAACTAATTAATGCAGAGTCAAGATATAAATAACCACTGAATTTGACCAGATTAAATGATTTGATTTCTAACGTGAAGATGTTATTCTGAAATGAGGTAAAACTGGTACTGAGCTTTTACAAGAACAAACTATTGATACTAAAAGGTGTTCAGTTTTCATGTTATTTGCTATGTGTTTCTTTTTGTTCTAAGAAGAATGGTGGATAAAATCAATGTGTTTATCCAATAAAAAATATTTTACTGATATATTTTAAAATTTTGTGTTTTATTCACTTCTTGAAAGGCATTTATAATGTTCACTTAAAAGTATATATGTTTACATATAACACAAAATATGTTAAATGGCCAAAAAAATTACTATATCAAAAAATGGACATATAAAACAGTGCTCAATGTAGCAGCTTAGAAAAACAGACATGCAGAGCAAGCTAATACAATGAAAATAGGTAAAACACGGTATACTACCACACACTACTATGGTTTTGACCACTAGGTCTTATGAGTGTGTTGTGGTTTGAGGAACACTTTCCTCAAACAACAACACACTATTATTATCAGCACAGGAAGTCAAGAAGGGGAAGCAGTGTGAGTGAAAAAAAAATTAGCCACTTATAAAGACAGTGTGGTGTTGATGAATAGGTGAACAGAAATAATGTCTAAATGTAAACATGTAAGCAATGTTGTCAGCCTGTATGACCCTGGATGAAGAAAAATAAATTTTTTTTTGGCTCGCACTGCCTTTCCTTTTTCATTTCCAATGCTTAAATTAAACAAAATTATAACCCACAGGGTTACAATTCAAAAGAAAATCATGACAGAAAAAGATTATCATTAAATTTACATCCTTGCTGATGACACTTTTTTCAGTGTATTATGCAAAAAGGATGTAAAATTTTACATCCAAATTTTTACTTTACTTTTGTGCAAATAAATAAATGATAGTATCCAGTTGCAATTTCTAATAGCAAATCTCCAATTATCTCCATTGTCATTTAACAGATATCTCCCTTGAAAAATAGTTTTCTTTTCATTTTTTTTATTCTTGATAAAATCCAAAAATGAATCAGCAATATTAGTGATCCTGACCTGGCATCTTGGCGTCAGTCAATTTCTGACCACCATGATGTAGTTTTCCTGTGCCTTTTGTATAAATACTTTCATGGTAATTGTTTGGCAAATACTTTGCTATGATTTAGATTTTTTTAAATTGTCTTTTTATTCCCCTCCCCCACAGACAATGAATTGTACATATGGAGCCTAATTAGGACATTCATAGAGACATTGAGATATTATGGTGGATGTAGTAAGAATGGTAAGTAAGAATGTGTTGTTTTGGTGTTTGGAATATTGTGGTATGTTTGGGTCAGTGTTTTTGTCTAGATAAGTTTAAATTTAAGACAGAAAAAGACTGTCCTTTTTCCACATTCCCCATTTTGACCTTGTGGCACATTTTGTAATTTTTACAAATAAATATCACTCTTTGCTATGGTATCTAGACTTTATGAATATAAGCATATCATCAATTTACAAGTGAATTAACCAAGATGTAACCATAATTCTATGCTAACAGTTTCCTGTCTCACACTTCTTGCTATTCAAACTCCCTTTTGGCTTCATGTTTTCCAGCCAACTTTGTTCCTCAAAAGTTTAAATGCAATGTCAATTGACACCTAGTGTCTTCTTAATTACTCTTCTATTGTTCTTGCTCCTTCATAATGTTTCTCTTTTTACTTTTTCTTTCACACTCAGCAGCCCCTTGTGTCTTAGTGGCTTTGCTGCCTTGCATTAGCAGATATGATAAAAAAGAAAGAAAAACAAAGAAAGTTTAGGATGAAGCTGCAAATCACCAAGTTTTATTTTTTTGGCACATCTTTTACTTAGTTCATGTCAGGGTTAATTCAATTCAATGCTGGTTTCTAAAGTACACTGTTTCAGCTACATAATGGTTACATGTACACCTACATAATGAGATCTTTACTATGCCCTGAAAGACTGGCTCAAAATGGTAAACCCTACTGTACTGATCACAAATTCAACAACCTGAATTGAGTAGAAGTGTTTTGAACCTTATGGGTATAAAATCCAGACAGTTTTGATCAATTGTTTTTGTTTACATTTTAATACAAGATCAGAAAATATAATAAAATCAGTCAGTACTGTTGCAACAATAGAAAAGGGAAGATGTCTTTACACTCTTATGTTCCTTAGTGGTAAGTAGTTGCATTTAGCACTCTTATTTTTAGGGGGAATTGTATCTCAGCTGTGACTTCTGGAGGTTGACCTTTGAGGTCAGATGCAGGCCAAAATAAGGTAGTTGATTTTGATTGGCTGAGCCAGCATGGAAATGATAGGTTTTTCAGAGAATTGTTTCTTGGTTATAAAGCGATGTAGATGTGTTCTCTTTCATGTCTGAAATGGCTTCACAGTGAAGGGAAATGTCTCCACTGGATAGTTAGTATATGTTGACATGAACATTAATAAAATAGTTAAGTTAAAATTATCTTTGCTGATGTCTTTTACCTCTGAACCCTAAACATCCAGTGATCACTGGCATAGAGAGAATTGGCACCATTGACCTCCCAGCATGAGGGAGCTATACAACAGTTTGCCCAACCTGTTGACATCTGTCCTCTCTATATCCCTCTTGTTTCCTCCAGGAAACAACACTGCTACAACTACTACTACTACTACTGAAATAAAGTTAGGGAAAAAATACTAAGAAAATTGTCTGTCAGTCATTTAGTTGGTAATGCAGCTCTAGTGCCTGAAGAATTGCCAATAGATCACAAAATGCCAGAGACAACATAAAATTATTTCTAGTTGATTAATTGATTTGATTTTTAGAGCTTATCAACCTTTTGCAGTTTATTTAAAACCCAGAAAATATTTTTAGATTCTAAGAATTATTTTGAGATTATTATGATTTACTGCTACAAATCCTACTAATTAACCTATATTTTTGTGGGGGAAGAAGCAGTGGATTCATACTTTCTCAAAGGTATTTGCGCATAAGTGAATATAACAAACCCAACTGGAAATGGAACTTGGCTCTCCAGTTAGCAGTCCCAAACCATTATTCATTACATCCACTGCACATCCAAGTATTCCCAAGTGGTCACCCATCTAGTTACTAACCAGGTTCAACATCGCTTAACTTTGATGTTCATATGAGATCCAGTGTTTCAACATGATATAGCTGTAATCCTCTATTTCTTCTGGCTTACTTTGTATATAAAGAAAACATAAAAAAGGTTGCTGATGAATTTTTACTTTTATAACTTAGTATTATGAGCTTTCGTTGATCATCACTATGAAAGTCAAGGATTAAATTTTACGTTTCCATGTCTGTATTTTTCTCATTTTACCTTTGAAGATTTCTGTCTTAATTTTATGAGATGAGGAGTTATCATTATTTAAATTATTTACAGTTGGACTCATGTCCTCATTTTTGTTGTTATTATCACAACATTTTGGCTGCTATGCCTACCAGCCTTCTTCAGGTATCTGTTGATCTGCGTATCCTTCAAGGAATTTCAAACTGAACCATTTATTTAAATTACAGATGTAGATTGTTCATGTTTTGTTGACCATGTCTATGGATATCTTGTTTTGTTCTTTTCTTTTTTTTAACTTCATTTTGTTTTTTTTTTATCATGACACAGTTATTGCTAGTTCTGTTTCCACTGATTCTAATTTTGGACTACCTAATCCAGGATTGAACTCACAGTTACTATTCCATGAAATTCAAGAACAATCACTTTAATCCTCTAGGTTATCTAGATTTCTTTGAAGAACAAAGTTGAAATATCAAATTTTCCTTTTGTTATTAAATTGGTTAAACTCTGCTGCCATTACATTCAGTTCTTTTTCTTTTAGAATAACCAAAGTTATTCTTTGATTTTCATCATCAATGCAAACTTCACTTTGAACTGTGCAACACCAAGTAACCTTACTCTGAAGCTCAATAAATCTGAATTAGTTATTCAGTGCATCTCTTGACTCCAGTCATAGCCACTCGAGGGATTCTGAAAATGCTTATCAGTTTGGTAATCTTTGGGGAAAAGTATGAAGGAGAAAAAAAAATTGCTAAAAGACTTTGGCAAAATGGTTCCTCTTTGTCACATCTTTTTGGTACTTCAATCTAATCTACTTGTGATTTAATGAGGCAACTTAGGTTGGCCTCTTTAGATTCATGGTGAAATCAGAACACTATAGAAATGTCTTTGGCTACTATTCCCCCAATTAGACTGTTACTGCTTCTAAATCCAATAAGCACATATATTAATATTACTTATCTTTCCCAATGATTTCACTGTCTTCTTGATAATCAGTAGCATCATCATCATTACTATTATATCTGTTATACTTTCTGTTACAATAATAAAATAATTGTAATAATTATTATTATCCATTATACTTTTTGTCATAAGAATTATATTATTATTATTGTTATACTTTCTCTCACAGTAATAAAATAATCATAATAATAATTATTATCCATTATGAGTTGTCATTGTCATGAGAAGTTTTTTTAAGCTTTTCACTCCAAGCAAGGTGACAGTGCCACTAGCACGCTAGGGGTTACAGAGAGAGGAACCAACAGTAAAGAGGCATGAAAGATGGAAGGATGAAAAGAAGGACAGGGAATAGATCAAGGTATCTGAAGATGTCGATTGACATTACATTTGAATAGTAAGAGATTATAGCTATCAAGGAAGCAAGTAAGAGGAAGGGAGTTCCACAGACTGGAAGTGCGAGACATGAAGCTATTCGAGTAGAAGAGACAACGACATTTAACCATTTTGACAGTGAAAGAGTGGGACTGAGATGCCAACCTAGTGACATGTTTAAATTCATGCAGATTGGGAACTAGTGAAAATAGCTCATAGAAGCAGTTACTGTGAAAGTATTTGTAGAAAAGACAGAGGGGGGCAGCGACCCGTCTGTGAAAGAGCAACTGTAAATGAGATGCAAGATCAGGCCCAACCACATTGCATATCCATACTATTATACTTTTTGTCAGAATAATAAAATAACACTAATAATTATTATCTGTTATACTTTTTGTCACTATAAAATAATAATTATCACATTATAATTCTGCTTGTTCCTTAATTAGCATGTACATTAGACTCTATCATTCCACACAACTTCAAATAACAGGTTAGGAAAGAAACTCCATCAATAGTGGAAAGAGAACTAACAGCTACTGGACTTGAAAAACCTGTTTTCCTGAGAAATTCTTTTGAGAGAAGGATTTTAGAAATTTCAACTGAAAACAGTACTGGTTGCTTGGTCAATGCATGCCAAACATTTCCTTGTAGAGAAACTGCTAATATTATCATTACCATTACCTCAGATGAATAAAGGACTATACAGTCTTTTGATTCCAAGCAAAAATGGAAGAAAAAGATGTATCAGAGATGCTGTTTGGTTTTAGGGAGAAATAGAAAAGATAGAGGAAGTAATAACATCCTGCTTTAGTGAAATGGAAAAAGTTGTCAATTCATTTGTAGCCTTTGAATTTTTTTTTTAAAGATCATGGCCTGCATTCATATTTATGCGCATCATTGCAATATTATTTGAAAGTTGTTAAGTTCAAATATTTAATTATGTAATAGGGGAATTTTCACAAGCATTCTATATTTGTGGAACTCACAAAGAACTAATTCAGTCATTAATTCAAGAATTAAGATTCTATCGGAGTTAACAAAGGTTGTGCATTTGTGTGTATTTTAGATGGATACATATTCAGTATATAAACAAAGAAGATCTCAATATCTCTTTGACATGACCATTTTCTTTTTTGGTTCAGAAGTAAGTTAGGATAACAATGGTTAAAATGGTTGAGCTTAAGTCAGCTTTCAGCTGAGTTGAAGCAACCAATTCACTTACTTCATGGATAAGGCTGTTGAAACATGTCTGAACGCTGTTGTTGGAAAGTGGAAAAGAGAAAGATTTTCTCCTTTCCGGAAGTGTGGTCATAAAATTGGGCATGTGACCAGAAATCCTTTTTGGTTTCTTTATAACTTGCATCATTAATTTCATTTTCCATTCTTTATTATTATTTTATTTATTGGTTTAATTTCAATTGCCCACAATTCCCCAGAATATTTAAATAGGAAAACCATGAAATTTACACAAACAAGTGTTATTATTATTATTATTATTATTATTATTATTATCTTATACATTTTATCAAATTAATAAAATAATATTATCATCATGAGTATTGTCATACATTTTGTTTCAGTGATAAAATAATAATAATAATAATAATTATTATTATTACTACCACCGCCACCACTACCTCATCACCTGTAATCATTATTATCATCATTTTAAAAGTGTTATTATACACTTATATCTTCTTCTATGTGACGTGTCTGTTCAGGATGTGGGCAGTCATAGTTCTCCACAATTTCTTGTCCTTTGTAGCTCTTGGTAAAGTTTGTATTTTTCTATTTCACCTCATCCCTCTTCTGCCAACCATTTATACAAGCTCATTAGATAGATTATGCACTGTTTTCATTTGTCACTCTTGCTCACTCTTGCCTTCAGTATGTCCTGTGAGTATCAATTTTTCTAAACCTTTTTTCCTCATCATATGCCCTAAACTATTTCTGATTCTAAATATAAATGTCTTTTTTGGTCCCATTTCCTTTAAAACATGTTCCATCCATGATATTCTCAACATACTTCTGTAAAACCATAATTATTCAGACTCAAATTTCTTCTTCATTTGTGAGGAGATCGTCCAGCAATAACTACCATATAGAAGGACCAATATTACATTGGTCAATATTACAGTTCAGTACACTTTTCTTTGTAATCACATCTTTTTCTGTTTATTAATACTTAGCTTAGCTTTTGGAAGGCATCTTTCAGTATTCCAATTCAACTTCAGAATTTGGCATTTTCCTTTTTCTCTTAAAACACTTCCAAAATATTTAAATTTTTGTACTTGATTGATTTTTGTATCTCCAATTTGTAATTCATATGTTTGGTTGAGCCTTTTGCTGACAACCATACATCTTCGCTTCTTACAATTGATGTTTAGTCCTTTCTTCTCATTTTCCTTTACTACCTGTTCTCTAGGAGTTCTTGCAGTTTCCTTTCTATGTCTGCTATCAACACTGCATCATCTTCATATCTAATGTTGTTAAGATTGTGGCCATCAGTAATGAATCCTGGTAGAACTTCTAATTCACTCTTATTTCTAATTTTATAAAACTAAGGCATTCATGGAAATATATTAACTCTCAATACACAGGTTATTTCATACAATAGGTATAAATTATAGTTACTATGATGTTGTCGCACCAAATTATAAGAACACACAACTGAATTGTTCATATATAAGATTACATTTTATTCAACCTCAGACATTGCAATTAGTGTTGGACAATGTCTGACCCAGAGCTCTCATTCCAATGTGGACCTTACATTCTTGAGTACAATGTAAAACACCGCATTTTCTGTTTCTAGAGTTAGTGTTTATATATTTCCCTGTCAAATGTTTTCCCCCACATAGTAGACACAGCTAGGGCTGATCATATGGCTCTGTACTTAGTGACCTGGAAGTAATCTCAGGTCAACCCTGTACTTGGCTTCTTTGACATCACACTGAATGCAAAGTCTATTCTGCCTGATCTGAGGTGAGACACATACTACATAATCATTAGAGAAAGAGAAAATGTACATACAATATTTTCCAATGTTTGAAACCCAGATGAAGCTGGGAGGTCATCTCAGGTTGACACTGCACTTGGATTCTCTGACATCACATTGTGCAAAGTCTATTCTACATGGTGAGCTATATACTATAAGTAGACTGTTTCTCTCTTATGATATGGTAACAGTTTTATTAATTTTACTGTAATTTCAAATTTCACATTATTAACCAGAGTACTGAAACTCTCAGAAATATAATTTTTGCAATTAACAATTATTACACAATGGGCTTACACAATAATGTGTCGAGCTTATGACCATGTGTTGAAACATCAGTTCTCACCCAATCACTGAACTGTTGAACCTGGTAAGTATAGACGGGTGACCACTTGGGAATATCAGGTGTATTAAGCTTGGATCTGCTGTTAGTGTAATGGATAATGGCTTGGAATTGGAAATTGGAGAGTCCAGTTTCAATTCTAGTAGGGTTCATTACATCCACATATGCACAAATGGCATTGCTAA